ATATTTCGATGTTATAAATTAATTATTTCTGTAAAAGCCAAAGATCATGAAGCGAAAAATCTCAAAATTTACAAAGTCTATAAATTATTGAAAATAAAGAGAATTATTATAAACAGAATTTAAAAATAGTGCAGGAAGTGGAGCTGAAGATAAACACTTCGGAGCTTAATCAATCTATGGTAACATGATTACTTACTTTTAATTTTTATATTTCGATATTTATATGTATTTCTTACAGACAACTTATTTCCACAAATTAAAAGGAGCATCAGCGGATTTAAGATCCTGCGAGGTATGTAAAATGGTGAAATGATTGTTAATTTATGTACATGCTTATTATATTAATAAAATTAACAAATATATATCTTATAATAATAAATTGTGTTTTATTATAAATTGGTATAGCCGTCACATTTGACGGATATATTCATCACATATGATTAGTCAACAATGACCGATAAATACATCATTTTTAATTTGTTAACTGTGATGGATATATCCATCAAGCATGATCAGTCAATCCTGACTAATATTTATGTCATCCTTGGTTAGTAAACAACAAAAGAGTGAGGAGCTCAAATATATGTTTTAAAGTCGATAGAATTCATAAGTGCAAGGGAGAAGAAAAATCACATGTACACAAATGTTTCCATCACTTTTGTCCATTTGCCTTAAGAAACTGATAGAAACTTTGCTTTACGCTGTGATAGAAATAATACATCAGTAGTGCCAGTCAAATGACCTATCAAATGACTGTCACTGTTCTTGTAGGGTTGTAGTGTCAAATTTAATACAAGAGAAAATATTTTCATTTCAGTAAAAGTGTTAGAAAAAATGAAATTTGTATAGAAAATTTAATTTTTTTACGTTTTAAACAAATTAAAACCTAAAAATAACAACTAATTAAAGAAAATAAAAGTGTTAACGTTGAGTAGTATTGTAAATACTAACAAAAAATCTACTAAATTACCATGGAAATGGCAAAAATTTTATTTGGTCGAGATCATGATGGCTATGTGGGCAGAGATGAACATACGGTAAGTAATAACAACAACAGAAATAAACAATTCGATAATTATTAATATGTCATCAAATTGTTGTAGAAAAAACTACAAACTTTAAGTTCAGAAGATGATGTTTTGGAAGAGTTACCCACCATGATGGAGGAATTGAGTGTGGTGGATGGTTTAAGGCCCAATCCGGGAGGTCCATTTTCAGCATTAACACCTTCTATGTGGCCTCAAGAGATACTGGCTAAACTGGGTCAACCGGAATCGGAGACTTCAGCTGGACCGAATGATCAACCGGACTATAGATTTGATGAGTTTGGTTTTCGGGTGGAGGAAGAAGATGGTCCTGAACAAAACTCGAATAAATTATTAGGTATACCTTTCGTAGAGGATGCTCAGCATCGTTTACAATGGATTGCCCATTTAGAATTTTCCCACAATAAAGAGGCTACTGAATTGACGTGGGAACATGTTGATGTTATGTTACCACGCACTGAAAAACTAAGAAATATGGTAAGAGAAGGTATACCCCATTCATTGAGGGCACAAATGTGGATGCGTTTATCGGGCGCGTTGGCCAAGAAACAAAAAAGTGAAACCAGTTATCAGGACATTATTAAGGCCTCAGCAAATGATCAGTTAATGACTTCAAAACAAATCGAAAAAGATTTATTGCGCATTTTGCCCACTAACGCTTGTTTTAGTAATCCCAATGGTACTGGCATACCAAGACTAAGACGCATTCTACGTGGCATTGCCTGGCTATATCCAGATATTGGTTATTGCCAGGGTACTGGTGTTATAGCGGCCTGTTTACTTTTATTTATGGAAGAAGAAAATGCATTCTGGATGATGGCTACCATAGTAGAAGATCTCTTGCCAGCTTCTTATTACTCTTCAACTCTGTTGGGTATACAGGCCGATCAGCGGGTCATGCAAACACTTATTGCTAATTATCTGTCGGCTGTTGATGATTCATTGAAGAAACATGATATAGAATTATCGTTAATAACATTGCATTGGTTTCTAACACTATTCGCAAATGTGGTCCATATGAAGATATTGGTACGCATTTGGGATTGGTTTTTCTATGAGGGTAGTATTGTACTCTTTCAACTGACCTTGGGTATGCTAAAGATGAAGGAGAAAGATTTACATAATCTTGAGAATTCGGCGCAAATATTTAATTCCCTGTCGGATATACCGGGTGAAGTGGATGATGTGGAGGTGAGTACAGCAACTTAACGAAATTTTATTTGGTGAATCGTCAAGTTTTTGTTAACAAACGGTGAAGCTTTTGTTTATTTCTTAATATAACAATGCCGTTTTTAATACAGGTTCACTTCTATATTATGTAATCTTTATTTTCAGGATCTTTTTAAACTTGCCCTAGAAGTTGGCGGATCTTTGAGTCAAACTGTTATCGACACACATCGTCGACGTCATTTGGCCTATCTAATGGCCGATCAAGGGGGTTTAGTTGGCAATCCCGAGGCTGTACCCAATCTACCCAAACAACATTTGGCCCGTAGACAGGTGCGCAAATCAAAATCCATACTCGAAACTTTACTATTCCGTGGTGACAACACGGGCGATGAGATTAAAAACAAGAACATAAGACAAACAGAGATTTTGGTAGATTTACGTGAAGCAATACTTAAAGTAGCTAGACATTTTATAACAATTGAACCGAAATTGGCCAATCACATACAATTGACAGCCGATTATAGCACACAATCACATGCTAAAGATCATGAGAATTTCATAAATGTAGCCAGGACACGCAAGAGAAGAGCCAAGGCTTTGCATGACTTTGAGAGGCATGACGATGATGAATTGGGTTTTAGAAAGAATGATATAATAACGATTGTCAGTCAAAAGGATGAACATTGCTGGGTAGGAGAACTGAATGGTTTAAGAGGATGGTTTCCAGCTAAATTTGTGGAACTTTTAGATGAACGTAGTAAACAATATACATCAGCAGGAGATGATGCTATATCAGAAACGGTAACTGATTTGGTGAGAGGTACATTGGCACCAGCGGTTAAGGCTTTTCTAGAACACGGCATGAAGAGACCCTCTTTCTTAGGAGGACCCATACATCCCTGGCTTTTTATAGAAGAGGCAGCCTCTAGAGAGGTGGAAAAAGATTTTGAATCTGTTTATAGCCGTTTAGTATTATGCAAAACTTATCGTCTAGACGAAGATGGTAAAGTACTTACACCCGAAGAACTTTTATACCGCTGTGTACAATCAATTAATCAATCTCATGATGAAGCTCATGCTCAAATGGATGTCAAATTAAGATCGTTAATTTGTTTGGGACTCAACGAGCAGGTCTTGCATTTGTGGCTAGAGGTATTATGCTCTTGCCAAGAGGTAGTGCAAAAATGGTATCATTCCTGGTCATTTATAGATTCACCCGGCTGGGTGCAAATTAAATGCGAACTACGTATATTGGCCCAGTTTGCCTTTAACCTTAATCCCGATTGGGAATTACCACCGAAACGTGGTAAAGAATCGCAACCTCTTAAAGATGGTGTGCGTGATATGTTGGTTAAACATCATTTATTCTCTTGGGATTTGTGAAAGGTTTCATGTGTTATTTTTAATCTTACTATTTTGCTCTTAATATATGATGAATTTTCTTATAATAGTTTTAAGTACAAAATTTCCACAATCAATCTATATATTATAAATATAATTATTGTATTTAAGCTTTAGCTTTGTTTTTGATTTATTTGTTTTAAAAGACAAAAGCTAACAACTTCCATTACGTTTTAAATTTTTTTACAACCATTAAGTTTTTTTGTTTTAAACATATTTTTTACTTAAAAAATAGAAATTTTTAATTTTCTTTAGTAACAAAAAGAAACGAAAAATGTGCATTTAATGTTATAGATAACAGTTTAATTAAAATATTTATTATTGTGTATTTGTTAGTTAACGTTTTGTTTAAATACCTCTTTAATTTTGTTTTTTTTTTTTATAAAAAAAATAATTATGCAGCTTTAAATGTCTATTTATATATGGAATTTTTCTTATAACTAGTTAAATTTTTGTTTTATAAATTATACATTTCAAATCTCACCGTTTTATTTATGGCTTTATATTTGGTAAATTATAGTTATACATTATTTTTATTATATGTAAACAATATACATATATTTATTATATATACTATTTGTCAGTCCACTTAAGTGCTTATACGAAATTATTAAAAAACCAATTTTCCTAAACCTTTAAACTGTCATAAGATAACAATTTTATAACATGTATGTACCTTAAATAAATATTTGAAAATTATATTAATTTAAAGATATATAATAGCTATATATATACATAAATATAAATAAAAATTATAAATATTAAAAAAACTAAACGAATATTAAAATCGCTTTTCATAATGACCGAAATTGGATTTGGACATAGACCAACAATATTATAAAAACACATAGAACAAAGTATACATTTCTAAAGGATTGAGCAGAGTTTAATCGACATTTGGCCTCATAATATTTCCATCGCTTCGTATTTTTAGAACCTCAAACTTTGAAAAATGGTTTTGTGATGGGAAGTGGTTTTCTAACGCTCTTCTTTATAGAGATGTCTATAATCTAGCCTGGTTTGGTCTATAAGCTAGTCTGTAGTCTAGTCAAAAAGTACTCTTTAATCTAGTCTATAGTTTATTCAATAGTCTAGACTATAGTCTAATCTTTAGTCTATGGTTTATAGTATATAGTCTGTAGCCTTTTTATAGTTTAAAGTTTAGTCTATAGCCTTGTCTATAGTATAGTCTATAGTCTACAGACTCGATTGTCATACTTTAAATTAATTTAGTACTTTAAAACCTAAAAAAGGACTATTTTTTATATGTAATCTCAAATCGAGATTTCGATCCCGAACCAATGCCGTAATTTCGCTCTGAAGTATGTTTTCTAACTTAATAAAATCGAATTTAATCTTCTCTTAAATAAAAAACACAATTTCTTAAGGTTTGCATTAAATCTATTACATTTATATAAATTATTTTTAAAATATTTGTTTGCATTTTGCAACCAGACTATATAAAATTAACTGCCAACTAAACCCAAATAATCATCCATCAAAGTACCAATAGCAAACTGTAAATAAACACAAAACAAAGCCATATAAAAATCATATAAAGTTAGCAAAAATCCCAACAAAACTTACAATGCCGGTAGCATCAACACGAGTACCAACGATTTTTAAACGTATTTTATCCTCGCCCGATATAACCACATCTTCATCTTTGGATTTATAGCAAGGTGGATTGCCATTGGGACAAAATTGCATATCGGCGGGAATGGACTGAAAACGCAAACACATAGAAATTATAAGTAATTTAAATAACGCTTAAAGTCACCTTTAAAACTTACATGATGTGATATAAAACACGATAGAGGACCAATTTCAGCAAACATGCCAACTTTGTTGATTTGTTTGACGACAGCATCTAAAACTTCCCCCTTAAATGGACGAAATACAATAGCTTTGTATTTCACCGGGTACACTACGAAACCCTGGCCAGGTTGTATAACACCGGAACCTATCTGATCAATAGTTGTGACAGCTATAACAAAACCATATTTTCCCGTACATGTACCCTCAACTTCAGTGTATAATTTTTGTTTTACCGTCTCCAATAGCTGGGGGCCAAAGTAACGTGGATGCAGTAGAATTTCATGTTCAAGAGAAATCTTTAGGAAAACACAAAAAAAAATTAATTTATGGCTATTAACGTAGAAATTTCAAGTAACTTACGTGGTAAAACATTTTTATTTTTTAATTAATCGGAATAATTGTACAAAAATTAGATTGTTTACAAACAAAATTGCAAATTCCCCAAGAAGTGAAATTTTCAATGGACAAAAAAAAAACGCGCTGCAGAGCCCTGCGCCGACAAATATTAACGACGGCGGCGGCTGACACTAAAAATATCGGCGACAGCTTAAAATCAACTGTAAGCCGGCTACGTTCTAAAATACGCTTAATTTTAAAATTTTCAAAGATTTTAAATAAAAACGGAATCCGAGAGATAAAAAAGTGGGATTTTGTATATAATTTATAAAAATAAAATAGAGCAAACACAAAAGCTGTGTGAGAAATTATGCAGAGATGGAAAAAATTTTAATTTGATTAATTCTTAAAAATTAAAAACAAATCCTTTCACCAAATTTTATGATGCTCTGCCCATATTTTCCCAGGTATTTATTTTAGACGCATAGTGTGATCTATAAGATACCGTTTCTTTGGGAAATCTTATAATGAACCACGAGATGAGAACTACCATTAGCTAGATAGATAGATAGATAGATAGATAGATAGATAGATAGATAGATAGATAGATAGATAGATAGATAGATAGATAGATAGATAGATAGATAGATAGATAGATAGATAGATAGATAGATAGATAGATAGATAGATAGATAGATAGATAGATAGATAGATAGATAGATAGATAGATAGATAGATAGATAGATAGATAGATAGATAGATAGATAGATAGATAGATAGATAGATAGATAGATAGATAGATAGATAGATAGATAGATAGATAGATAGATAGATAGATAGATAGATAGATAGATAGATAGATAGATAGATAGATAGATAGATAGATAGATAGATAGATAGATAGATAGATAGATAGATAGATAGATAGATAGATAGATAGATAGATAGATAGATAGATAGATAGATAGATAGATAGATAGATAGATAGATAGATAGATAGCTCTCAAAACATTCAGAGTGGTTGGTATACTTTGATGTTAGTATAGAACCAGTATAATCTTGAAGATTATAAACAGGTTATTGATCGCAATAAAATCCATTTTTTTTCTATAAAACTAAAGATGCTAAAAGGTAAAAATATAACGATGTACTAACTAACGCAATCAATTATGATGATTCGTCGTAAGTTGAGAATTATAATTGATGATACGAAAATTAGTTTATGGATCAAGAAACTTTTATATGTATAGTTATGCCAGTTTTTTAATATTAAAACAAATGATTTATTTAGATTTAAATTGTTTTCCACTGTTTGTCGATTACTCAGTTGTAAAAAGTGATCTAGATTTCTTCAATACATGTTTCTATTTTTTCAATCCACAGATTTCTCTATTTCACGCTGATGCTTCGTACAGAATTTATAATTGTGATTTTACATAAATTATAACCACTTATAGGGAATTCAAAAATAAAGATTTTTTTATATTTTAAGAGTTGCTAAACTTTGTGTTTGATTATAAATAATGGTTGCACTGTGTTGTAGGAAAAGGAAGTTTCTAAGAACGAACTTATTTCTATGCAAATGCATGTTGTAATGAAATGTAACCAAAATAAATGCATTTCTAGAGATAATATTTTGAATAAATTAAAAAAATACTTGAAATACTCTCTTGCGCACACTTAAGAGTGAATTGTTTTTGTGTGGTTTTTTGTATTTTTTTCAAGATTGCCATGACGTAGATACATTTAAAACTAGTTTTTGTTGTTTATGAAGACGCTTAAATGTATCTCACAAATATAATAAAAACAGAAAAAAATACATACTAGTCAGGCATGGAAAATTCAGTACTTTAATACTTTCAAAGTTCGAAAAATTCAGCAGTAACCCAACGACTTTTTAGGTACTTTTTCTAACTTATAAACTTTTGACAAACAGATTATAATACAGTCTAATCAATAGTGTTATCTAGCCTATAGTTTAGTCAATAGTCTAGTCTATATTTCAAAGTCTATTCTATAATCTAGCCTGAGGTCTATTGTTTGGTCGATAGTTCAGTTTACAATCTAGTGTATAATCTATTCCATAGACTAGCCTATAGATTAGTCTACAGTCTAGTCTATAATATAGTCGATAGTCTAGTCTATATCTATACTTCAGTCTATAATCTAGTCCGTAGTCTAGTCTTTAATCAAGTCTATAGTCTAGTATATATTCTATTCAATGGTCAAGTCTGTAGTCAAGTCTATAGTCCAGTCTATAGTCTAGCCTATAGTCTTGTCTATAGTCTAGTCTATAGTCTAGTCTATAGTCTAGTCTATAGTCTAGTCTATAGTCTAGTCTATAGTCTAGTCTATAGTCTAGTCTATAGTCCAGTCTATAGTCTAGTCTATAGTCTAGTCTATAGTCTAGTCTATAGTCTAGTCTAGTCTATAGTCTAGTCTATAGTCTAGTCTATAGTCTAGTCTATAGTCTAGTCTATAGTCTAGTCTATAGTCTAGTCTATAGTCTAGTCTATAGTCTAGTCTATAGTCTAGTCTATAGTCTAGTCTATAGTCTAGTCTATAGTCTAGTCTATAGTCTAGTCTATAGTTTAGTCTATAGTCTAGTCTATAGTCTAGTCTATAGTCTAGTCTATAGTCTAGTCTATAGTCTAGTCTATAGTCTAGTCTATAGTCTAGTCTATAGTCTAGTCTATAGTCTAGTCTATAGTCTAGTCTATAGTCTTCTAAGTCTAGTCTATAGTCTAGTCTATAGTCTAGTCTATAGTCTAGTCTATAGTCTAGTCTATAGTCTAGTCTATAGTCTAGTCTATAGTCTAGTCTATAGTCTAGTCTATAGTCTAGTCTATAGTCTAGTCTATAGTCTAGTCTATAGTCTAGTCTATAGTCTAGTCTATAGTCTAGTCTATAGTCTAGTCTATAGTCTAGTCTATAGTCTAGTCTATAGTCTAGTCTATAGTCTAGTCTATAGTCTAGTCTATAGTCTAGTCTATAGTCTAGTCTATAGTCTAGTCTTAGTCTAGTCTATAGTCTAGTCTATAGTAGTCTATAGTCTAGTCTATAGTCTAGTCTATAGTCTAGTCTATAGTCTAGTCTATAGTCTATAGTCTAGTCTATAGTCTATAGTCTCTCTATAGTCTATAGTCTAGTCTAGTCTAGTCTATAGTCTAGTCTATAGTCTAGTCTATAGTCTAGTCTATAGTCTAGTCTATAGTCTAGTATAGTCTAGTCTATAGTCTAGTCTATAGTCTAGTCTATAGTCTAGTCTATAGTCTAGTCTATAGTCTAGTCTATAGTCTAGTCTATAGTCTAGTCTATAGTCTAGTCTATAGTCTAGTCTATAGTCTAGTCTATAGTCTAGTCTATAGTCTAGTCTATAGTCTAGTCTATAGTCTAGTCTATAGTCTAGTCTATAGTCTAGTCTATAGTCTAGTCTATAGTCTAGTCTATAGTCTAGTCTATAGTCTAGTCTATAGTCTAGTCTATAGTCTAGTCTATAGTCTAGTCTATAGTCTAGTCTATAGTCTAGTCTATAGTCTAGTCTATAGTCTAGTCTATAGTCTAGTCTATAGTCTAGTCTATAGTCTAGTCTATAGTCTAGTCTATAGTCTAGTCTATAGTCCGGTCTATAGTCTAGTCTATAGTCTAGTCTATAGTCTAGTCTATAGTGTAGTCTATTGTCTAGTCAATAGTCAAGTCTATAGTCTAGTCTATAGTCTAGTCTATGGTTTAGTCAATAGTCTAGTCTTAAGTCTAGTCTAAAGTCTAGTCTAAAGTCTAGTCTATAGTTTAGTACTTAAAAAACCTAAAAAGTACTCAATTTCTTGTAAGTTAGTACCATTTCAAAATTTAAATTTTCCATACCTGATTCACGTATTTGTATTAAAAAACTCTGAGATAGTCAGATATTGATAACTTGATTTAATTACTTTTCTGAGTTTTTAAACGTAACGAACAAATGGACGGAATGGCTATAGATTGAGAATTTAGTCAGACAAAAGCAGCGGCTGTGAAAAGAGGTTTTTTTGTTTTGGAATAAAGAAAAGTGATTGTAAAGAAAATAACACATTAAGTTTTTTTTTTGTTAAAAAAAGGTACAAAACATATTTAAATTGTAATTTTAAAAAGGCAATAATATCAAAAGAATCATCTTCTTTTTTGATTACAAAAGAAATAAAGTCAAGGTATTGGGAATAATGTAAAAGGCTTACTTTAAAAAAAAGATGTGTTAAAAATTGTAAATTTTATTTCAAGTGGGAATTTTTAGTGTGTGCTAAATACATATTACACGGAATTATTAATCGTATTAATCTTGTTTGTGTTAATTCCCTTTACCCCTTAGAAGGTCATTATAAGTTCTAGTAGTTTATGCGTAAAATTATTAGTCATGGCATCATATAAGTTGGGGAAATTTTATATCACATATAAAATTTTCAATTCAATTAACTATTTCTTTCTAAAATTATTAATAATTAATTTTCAATATATTTTTAACAATATTTTAAACATTAATACAAACTAAATTTAAGAACCTGTTTGTTTTTTGCAAAAATCAATGCTTTTCTGTGAATTTCACGATTTCAAGTTGATGTTTCTTAAAAATGATTCAAGGTTATTAGCCAAAAATAAAAAAAAATTAGGGTTTGTTTATATAATTATACATTCAAATATAATTTTATAACAAAACAATAAACAATTGTTAATTAACATTAAACTTAAAATATTTTATACATAAAAAGCAATCACAATATACGACAAAGGTCAATAAAGTTATCAATATCAAATGTTAATCATGGAGACACTTTAGAAAACATGTAGTATACGAATTGGACATGATCATGAACATCATATGTCTTCTCATCTAAGTTTAACCTAATTTTATAACAGAAAATTAAAGTAGTATGAAGAAATTAGTATTTGTTCCAAATTGTTTGTAACAAAATACGAGGGAAGTTTGAAAAAAGTCGTTACATTTCAAATTATTGTTTTAGTGATTAAACACTCATCACTTGAGTTTGCGAAACAGGAAATAAATAAGGGTTTGATCACGTTGGGCCTTGTAAGAATTTTTACCATGGGAATTTGAAGTGCTTTGTCATGACAGAAGATCATTAATTTTTGTCTCT